CTTGGCAATTGCTGTTACATGAAATTATGTCTTGCTTTTGTTCCGTGACATCCAGTCTCATGGTACAACTGAAAGCTGAGACCTTAAATACAATTCTTGATGTGCATTTTTCCTATGTGCTCCTTTACCTTGGGAACGCTAAGTCTACAGACAAGTTAGTTACTGACAGGCCCAGGATCTACCTAAAGCTCGGGGGATGGAGCTATTCAGTGGGAATTCAGCCCATCAGACTATAAGGCAAAGCCTGGAATGTAACTGATCTCTTAATGCCAAATCTTCTCCAGCCTTCTCTGGATGGCAACAATCTTGATCTGCCTTGAAAAACCATGTCTCAGCAGAAGGTTTCAGAGGCTGGAAGGATGTGGCAGGCTCAGTCTCGCTTGGCCCATTAGAATTTGGGGACTGAACCACTTGGGGCATCTATTTGGAAGCAGCCCAAGGCTGATAGTTTAGGGTTGTACATCTTTTACAAGATTCTTTTCCTTCTTTGCGACATTGTTTAAGCCAATAGCCATTAGTTGAAGCAGTAAAGTTAACTGTTGTGGTGAAACCCATTTTACTGACTAATCTGCAACAAAAGTTTTTTTTGAATGTTTGTCTTATAATCTTGTAAAAGGATATCTTCATAATATTTACAAATGTCCATGGGCTGTAAATATATCCATGAGCTGTGGTTGGAAGATTCTCAAACTCCCTTGGGACAGTTCAACCCTGACCACTCTGTTTGTGTACACTGAAGGTTTGGCTTTCCGTCTCCTAGAAGATGTTAAAATCTTGCACTTATAAAATAAGCGTACACTCACTTCTACCGCAGGAATATATATTTCATAAGTTAAAAACAAATCCCTATATCATGTGGCTAGCCTTAATAAAAGTAGACCCAGAAGAAACTAAAATACGCACATAGCATCTAATCCACCCAACTCTGGCTGTTTACTCATTATGTCCCCACACGAAATTAGGTGACGGTCACAAAAACATAGTTTTAGAAAGGAGAAAGATAAAATTGGTGAAGACCTTCAAAATAGTAATCTGATGAATTAAAAGTAAGTTAAAGTGGCAACTCTATTGGAAACATGACAAAAACAGGGTGTTAAAGAAAAAAAATTGAGTGGAGTCAACGAGGTTACACATAAGTAACACCTTAACATTAATAGAAATCTATTTCCCATTTTGACCCTGAAACCTCTTCAATTAATTACTAAAATCTATTTACACAGCAACAAGGTAAAAATCAATCGGATCCCTGGCACTGTGTCTGGCTGGCTGCCCTCTCTAATACAAGGGCCAGAGGACTGTCAGTCCTGCATCTCTGTTAAGAAGCTCTCTTGCTCACACGCTCCTGGGAAACGTGCCACTGTCAGCTTCCACACCAGAGTGGCGGGGAGGCCAGAACCTGTGAACCCTCTGAGAATCAGGCCTGAGGGCAAGGACAGAGTACACTTTGCAGGACACAAACACCTGTGATAGGGAACTCTGGGGATGTGCCAACCCACCTGGCCCTTAGGCCAGTGTCTCAGACCCAGAGGTCTATCTCAGACCCAGAGGTCAGAGCTGGCTGGCGTAGCACAGGCTCAATTTTAGAACAAACCCAATTCCCTTAGCCAGATGTCTTTATGCAGTGAACAAGCTGCATGTATGTACAAAGATGAAAATGAAGACTATTTTTATTATTCATATCATCAATTAAATCACAATGAAAAACAGTTAAGAATAATGAATAAAGGTAACTAATTCACAGGAAGATGAGTGAAGAAGACAACCTTTCATAAGCTCCCTGCTCTGCTGGCAAAACAATGGTGGCAGGACCCAGACCAGCAGGACTCAGCTACCCCCAGCTGAGCCTGGCCTCCGCCTGAGCACCATGGCAACAGCCATGCCTGGAGGTTCAAAGGGAAACTCAAGGGTAATGAGAGTCTGGGAAGACTTGGCATATATTGAGCAAGGGGATTCATCTCCTACTGCCGAATTACTTTCTTTCTTGCTTGATCTTGTCCTATGGAAGGTACGGCAAACAGTCTATGTATCTATGCCCTTTTCATTTTCCTTCTGAACTAGGGAAAGCCAGTATGGTAAATGAGTAAAGAGGGATGTCAGAGGGCTGAACAGAAAAGAGTCCACTTCACAGACAGTAAAAGCAGTGTTAAGACAACCATCACACACACTACTTCACATATGCTGCCTGGGCTACCCGAATGGTCTCTTCTCTTTCTATGCCTGGAAAACTCCTACTTATTCTTCGAAACACATCTCAGAAAGAAAATAAAAAAAAACAAACAGACTATAGACAAAGAGAACAAACTGATGGCTGCCAAAGGGCAGGGGTGGGGGGTTTTGGGGAGCTGGGTAAAAAGGTGAAGAGATTAAGGAGTCCACACTGGTAGTCGTGGGGATGTAAAGTACGGCACAGGGAATACAGTCAATAACACTGCAATAACTATGTATGGTGCCAGGTGGGCACTAAAAATACGGAGGTGAAACACTTTGTAAAGTATGTGACTATCTAACCACTGTGCGGTATACCTGAAACTAAAACAAAATAATACTGAATGTACACTGTAATTGAAAAAAAAAATTAGAACCCCCCCCCAGACATCATCTCCTCCAGACGGCACTGATTACTCCACTTCTGTGACACTCTGCACATACATGTCTTACTGTGTTTCACTTTTGCACTTTATACCCTATGTGGTAATACTTGTTTATTAATTGGGCTTCCCCATAAACTGTGAGGCCTTCAAAGACTGGGGGGCCTAGTACGAAAGAAGGTGCTCAGTAAATATTTGCTGAATAAATGGACACATACATAAACGAATGAATGAATGAGTGAATGAGTGAGTGAACAGGCCATCCTGCATGATCCAGATGTCCAATCTTTTCACGATTGTGCTATATCTAGAAACATTCTCACTCAGCCAAAGCCCTCAGAATTCAGTTCCACCTCTTTCCATATTCCCTGAATCTTCAACAATTCAGTCAAGCCCTGTGTTTGTTTTGTTTTTATTTTTTCACCAACATGGTAATTCTGAGATCCAAAAGGCATATGGAAGAGTTGCAAGTTGACTGCTATAATTGATTCAAACCTCTTTAGTACACAGGAAAGAGAAGGGAAACAGTTTACCAGAATCCCCAGAGTTCAAGTTCCTCAAGATATGTCCTAAGCTGTGGCCATCCTGCTGATGGTCATGGGCTTGCTGACGGCCATAAGATGGTACTCTGAGACTGAGCTCCTAGCTCCAGTTCTAGAAGCACAGACCTTTAGGAACTAGAAAGAATCTTAAAATGACTTACTCCTACTTTTTTATTTTACTGATGAGTAAACAGACCCAGAAAGATTGTCTCCTGTCCAAGGTTGAAGAGCTCGAGCGAGACTCGCTATGTAGGTTTCCTGACCTCATTTTCCAAACACTAGCCACTAAACAAGCAGGTCCTTTACAGCCTGGACATCAACCTTCCTAGCTGAGCTGGGTGGCACCGATCTGTCCCGTCTGCGAGTTCACGGAACAAGCTAGGAGGAAGATGGGGTGAAAGGTTAGCCACTACTTACTTGAAGGGCTTCTCTCCAGTGTGGGTTCGGATGTGGTTGTTGAGAGTGGTGGCCCCGGCAAAGGCACGGCCACAATAGCCGCACTTGAAAGGCCGGTCACTGGAGTGAGTGACCACGTGGTTCCTCAGTTCTGAAGGCTGGGAAAAGGACTGGGAGCAGTGACCACATTGGTAGGGTCTGAAATAAATAAAGAGACTGCCTGGTCATTATTTGCTATGTTAGTCAGTGGACATCAGCATCGTGAAGCACAGGTCACCACTTCTTGTTGACATTTTCTGTTTTGCATAGCACTTTGGCCACTGGGTTCCCATTACCTTACTTGTTGCCACAGGAACAAAATTCACAGAACTGCTGAGACATTAATTCCCAAACAAATATTTTTTTCTGGTATTAACTTTACCCTGCTTTCTTGTTTCTATTGCCTCCACCAGGCAAATATTAATGTATTGGGGGCAGCGTGGAGAGGACAGACTTGACTAACTGGAATGTTACAAGTCAATATATAATTGACTCTCATAATTTTATAGCACTTTTAACTTTTCAAAAGGGCTAAGAATCACTTATCTAGTGTAATCTTTACAAAAATCCTCTGGGGCAGGCAAAATGATCCTTATTATCTATGTCCTTTCAGAAAACTGAGGATAAACTTTCCTCACAGGAAATAAGCTCTTGATGCCAAGGGCAGGGGTGTCCAATCCATAGCCCGCAGGCTGCGTGCGGCCCAGGATGGCTATGAATGTGGCCCAAAACAAAATCGTAAATTTACTTAAAACATTATAAGGTTTTTGTTTCTGTTAGTGTTTGTGTATTTAATGTGTGGCCCAAGACAACTCTTCTTCTTCCAGTGTGGCGCAGAGATGCCAAAAGATTGGACATCCCTGCGCATCTGGATCTTCCTCTAGGCGCCAGGTAAACACACAGGGGGACAGCCCGCTGCGTGTGTGTTTCAGTAAACAAGGAACTCCCTCAGGATCTGTCCACAGCACAGCCTCAGCTTGCAGTTGTCTGATATCGCACAGAGGAACACAGGTACGCACCAGATTTACTTCTTTGTAAAATAAACCCTGACTTCTATTTACTCCCCGCCAGCAAATAATATTTATCCATTGGATAAACTGGGCCTTTTTCTTGAACTTCAGCTCCCCCGTTTAACCTGGCAGGAAGCAGTGACTTACAGCAGTACAAAAATGACAGGATGCCACTGCACTTGCAGAAGGGTGACTGCGATGCAGAAACAAATGGAAGGAAGTTGTGACAAATACATGATAATTACCTAGATTATCAGAGAACATTCTTCTCATCTCATGAGAATTTAAATCAATTTTTGGCTTTCATAAAATAGATTAAAACTCTACCTCCTCTACAGAAGTTCTTCAGCTTACTTATGCAGAGTCTGCTGAATGATGTAAAACCTGGGGAGTTTTCCCTATTTGAAGCTATTTCATATCATCCTTTGACAGGGCTCTAATTTGTTTATCAAAATTTTTGTTAGGAAAATTGAGAATCTGTCATGAGGGATATCAACAGCACTCACGAAGCCCTGGTTTGTGGCCCAGATGTTTCTGGCTGCATTTAGAAAGCCAACAGTGAAAGCAAACTTAATTGTTCACACTTTAACAAATACATAAGCTCCAATGACCAGAAACCAACATGTAGGGCTAGGAGACAATGGTGCCCGAGCATGTACAACAATTCAATTAAGTGCAAAATAAAGTGTACCCTCTCATTTGTCAAGTGAAGTGCTTAATTGTGGCTACTTGCCTCACTGAACACAAATACTATTATTTTACCAGACTTCAGCACACGGAGCACTGATTGTAGAATTTTTTAGCTTGATTAATAGTCCAGGATTGATCAATAACTCAATACTATACAATTTTAATTACTTACATTTAGAAATCTATTTAACTGCTCTCAAACAGGTTTCAAAGAAATATATAAGAGCCCTTGATAAGGAGTTTATCAATCTTGACAAATTGCACATGCATTTTATTATAATTATAAAATAATGCTTTGAAAGTTATTAAAATTATATATAGATGAAAATGTCCTCCTGCCAAATCTGTTCTTTGCTGTAACTATTAACCTTAAAGAGTTTCTCAAAAATCACTCTCTCAGGTGTGAATTTCTTTAATGTTATGGGAAGATTATAAATAAAATAATACATTAATACATGCTATATCCACTGACAACAGATTTTTCTAATAGTGAAGGGACCATTAACATTTATTAGCCTCTGGTTATCTATTTTTAATACCTATCACAATAAACAATAAGCCACTAAATAAAACCAATTAATCTTTTCTTTTTTTTCTAACTCTACTGTCAAAAGTTGGAGTGATTTATTTCCCATAGTCAGAAGTCAATCCATCCTTTTTATGCTAACAGTCACAAAGATTCATGCACAGAAGAGCAGCACTGACCACAGAGAAGCTCAGGCTGAATTCTTGTATGGAAGTAATATCAATGAAAGGCAAACAGGATTCTAATGCATCACCCTTACCCAGCACCAGCCTGCTAGGTGTTTGCTCGGTATCCAGTGACCTACGGCACCACTTTGAAACATTGCAGAATTTAGCCTGAGTGAAAGAAAAGGTCTAGGACAGGGAAAATAGGAGAGGTGAGCCCTACTTCAGCCTGTGACCCCACTCAGCTGTGGGACTTGGACAAGTCACTCAACTTCGCCGAGTCTACTTTTTCACCTCTCATCTCTCTGGTAAGGGGTATGGCCTGAAGTAAATGCTCTGTTGCATCCTGTCATGCTCTGTTCCTGCTTTCGAATATGTGCTGCCTGAGATCTGCCTAAGACACAGCCTTGTAAGAAAGAGCTGCAATAATATAATATATGATTTCCACCTTCCATCACATGTACTAGCGAGCCCTGTACATAGTAGAGCTTTCTATGGTTGTGTGTGTGTGAAAGATTTAAATGCATTAGGTACACAGTTATGAGTCAGAGCAGCAAGAAAACCTAGTACCAAAACGTAGGACCAAATCTTATCATAGTTGATCTCAGAAAACAAAGTGATCGCCCTTTCTTCTTAGGTACCTTGAAGAATAAGACCATAAGACCACTTTAGACCATAAAGTCACATTCATCTTTACAGAAGCTGACTTTATGTGGAATTTAGAACCAAAATGTGTCCTCTGCTTGCCACTATAAAAACAGATTGTGTTTCTCAGCCTAGATATTTATAGAAATTAGCCCTAAAAAAACCATAGAAGTTACACAGTGAGTAGATAAGATTCCTTCTTTTCCTAGATTGTCAATATTTCTTCAAAAATGAATAGAAGCAAATGATCAAAAACCCGTTTTATCCCTAACCAGTATGGCTCAGTTGCTTGGGCATTGTCTTGCAAGCAGAAGGTCTCTGGTTCGATCCCAGGTCAGGGCACATGCCTAGGGTTATGGGTTCAATCCCCAGTCAGGGCATGTACAAGAGACAACAGACTGGTGTTTCTCTCCCTCTCTTTCTCCCTCCCTCTCTCTAAAAGTAAGTAAATAAAATATTTGTTAAAGTAATTTTAACATTGATTACATCCTAGAATTTTATCTAAGGACACAGGAATGCATTTAAAACAGAACGAAATCCTCAAGCCCAAGAGCAAGGCCTAGAAAACATCATCATTACTCTGGAATCTCAAACATCATCACTTCTTTTAGGACCACTGGCCACGGAAGTTAAGACCCTGTATGCATGTTCAGTTAGGGTACCCTGACACCTCACCTCTCAGTTTACTATGGCGGGGAGGGTTGTTGGGGACACAGGACTAATTGCCATTACCTGCTTCTTATTCTGAAGACTAACATTACCACTAACTTTTCAAAGGTCTAGCCAAAAGGTAAGACTTTCAGATACTGTCAAGTTGACCTCCAAAGTTCTGTCTCCTGTTGGCCAGCCATACCAGAAGAAGCAGGGGAGGACTGACTGATATCACCAAGTGCTGTGTTCAACTTCACTTATTCCAGGACCTTGTGTCAGTGAACAACTAAACAGGAATCTCCTTCCTCATGCATTTTGATTCTCCCTTTATTCTTCCCAAACAAATCCAATGAGTGTTCCTCACAAAGGGATAGCATCTCACGACCAGAAGGAGCTCATGGCTCTTTCACTACTTGAGATGGCTGGCAGTGTTGTCCACTGGTGTAAATGTTCTGTATCTATGGCAGCCACTTGCCACTTGAAATGTGTCTCGGGCCACTGAGAAACTAAAGTCCTTATTTTACTTAATTTTGATTAATTTTAATTTAAGCAGCCTCATGTGGCTTAGTTCCCACATAAATATCAGGCTTCATGGAAAACTACAAGCTGCTCCACACTCAATAATGAAATAACTAAAACTTGGGTGAAAGACAAAGCCTGGGTCAATTTAGTTATTAGCACATATCCAAGCTGTAAGGTTTTAAGCAGAAAGCAGTGAGACAATTTTGTACATCTCTTGAAAATTTCTGTAACTGGCAGCTCCTCTGCCAAAGATTAGTCCAGTAAAATGTGCAATTCATTTACTTTAAGTCTGTATTTGGTTTGGTGTACACAGAGGGTAAGAATGAAACATTTAACAGAATTATTAACAAAATTAAGTGGGGTTTGGTTTAAAATATTATGAATACGTCTTTAATTTTTCTCATGGCATGAAAGCCTCCAGGACAAAAGTTGATGAGTTGGGGCCACGTTCTGTCCTTAGGTCACTGTTGGCTGTGTGGAGTGAGGAATGACCTTAGTTCTATGAAAGGAGAAAAAGATTTCACAAACGCAGCAGAAGTGCAGAGCCAAAGGACCTGGAAAACATGGAATGCTAGGGAGAAGATAACCTTCACACTTGGGGGCGGGGGCACTGGAACACAGGAGCACTGACACATTCCAAAGAAACTATTATGGTGATGGATTATCTCCAGGCTCCTCCCGCCAAACAGCACCCTCCAGAATCACCTTCCCCTCTGGTACCAGCGCACCCATATACAAATAATGATACTCAAAACACAAATGAGAGCAACCAAAGTGCATCCAGCAGGCTAAAGGCAAACTTTCCCCACGTGGCACAACCGACCAAAACAGAGAAAAGGAAAAGGATGCAAGATGAAGACAATAAGCATTATAAAGACAATCTCTACAAAAAATAAAAGAGAATGAATTCATTAGGAAATAATCCACTGTGATTGAAGGCTTTGCTTACCCTTTTCTGGAGCCTCCCCCACCCCCACCCCACCAATGGGACTGTTGAGAGTTTCTGCAGCCGGAAAAACAGAAGACAAAAGGGGTTTCTAACTCCTGGCTCAAGCAATAGTGAGTCAAGCTGCCCTGGGTTAGTTAGGTCATAAGCTGATGCAAAACCCCAAATGTTTATGAAGTCCCTAAATAAAATCTTGGTTGATCTAGATTCCAACAGCTTCTTCCCTTTGAATTCACTTAGTGGGGGGAAAGTCAGTTGACTGGGGAAAAGGAAGAAGAGATTTGGGGGTTGGTTTGTTTCATATTAACAGGAAAAAATCAAGAAATAGCAATTCTGTGGCTGTTTGGACCCACAGAATTTTTGTATTTTTATCTTTCACATTAACTCCAACCTTACTAGGTGGAGTGGAATCGTTTTTCTATGTTCATTGTAAATAACATGATAGTTTCTTTAAAAAAAAAAACAAAACGGTGATGCTGGCAACCCTGGATTTCCTTGGATCTCTTTTCTTTATATCAAGGCATAGATTTTTTGATGGTCCCTCACATGAAAAAGCTCACAAATGTAGACACACAAAGTCTCTTTGATGAAGGTTCAAATGTCTTAGGTTTCACGGCCAAATATTCAGTCTGTTGAGTGAAAAATCTTTTGGACCCAAGATTCAGGGGGCTGTTTCAAATTTGGATCTGTTTGAAACTCTAACCTGTTTACCTTCTGACTTTGTCTTCTGTGTCTCCCTTTCTTGCCTCTGGTTCTAGCAAGATTTTCCTATCAAAATAAAAGCATTTGAGTTTTTCAAAATCAAAGGGAAATGGTTTCTGACTGTGAGTTCTGTATATGCCTGAATAGGCACAAACTGCCAGAGGTGGAAAGCCACTTGATTTATGCTCCCTCACTAAAGGAAACACGTGCATTCAGCAGTTGTGATTCTTCACATGGATGAGAAGAGAAGAGGCTACAGATTTCGCAACCATCATGCACAAATGTGATGTTCCACTTTAGTTTTGTGTAGTTCTCTTATTTAGCACCCACGTGGTTAAGAATTATGGAGAGAATCTTTTACTTCCAAACTTGCTGGTACAAAGAGAACATTCTAGGTTCTGGAACTGAAAAGAATTATTCCAGGCCTATATGCTAAAAGCAAACCATGTCTCTAGAATGAAACTAGTGCATCAAAGTGACTGGGCATCTCCTATTTTCCCTTTGTCTCCAATAATCATCTCTAAAGTGATGGAGGAATTCAAGCATCTCCTCATCATTACTAAGAAACACTGTACTTTTTCACTTTGCCTATACAGGGACTAATTTTTTTGAAGCCTTAATGTTAACTTATTTTTGAATGACGGTGACCACCTCTCATGTCACCAAGAAAGCACAGGAAAGGGAGAAGCAGGAACCCACACTTGAGTAACTGGATCCCTCTCCGACTACCCACATAGAAGTCAAGCACCCACCATTCCCCTCACCTGGAAAGGGAAGGCCTGGCCACACTGGACTTGGACATCTGAGGAGAAGCCCATCAGCGTCTAGCACAGGACAGGAGCCTCACACCACTTGGGTTTTTGCCAAGAACTCTACATTAGCTTGGAACAAGCATTGATCTAGCAGAACCCTTGTGCAAGTGTATTTTGTGCACAGAAGTTCCCTAATTTGTCATATACTTCTCTGACAGTTTATATGGATGTGTTACAAGTTAGGACACTATTATGATACGTATATGGTGTTCTAAGTGTGACTGGGTCAGTCTAATCAGTATGTTTTGGTATCTTCCTCTTTACTGTGATGTATTTTCATTGCTTTATGTGACATTCAGCGTGGAATTATATCAGACTAAACGCTAAGCTTTGAAATCCAGAAACTTTCAACTATCATTTCATTTTACCTTGCCTGTTCAGTTATTATGACAACAACAAATCTGGGCAAATAACAAATCTATCCATTTGAACTCACTCAATTTAAAAAGTAAGTTTATAATAACAGGATTTAGTGCATCTTGTTACTCCTAAACTACTAAAATGCTTTGTAAACTTTGAATAAACATATCTTGTGACTATATGTATACTTGCAAGGAAAGTAAACTTTCAGAAAAAAAATCCTTTCTGTGTGAAGAAAATATCTTCAGAACTTTTGTGTTCCCTCTAAGGCCAGTAGTACTAATTTTCACCAGGGTGGGGGCTCTCCTATTGAAAGTAAAAGATTGTAAAGACACAGCTGCCTTAACAGCCCTAAAGCAAATGTTTACACATTAGTTAGAGCAATGCTCCTCTAATGGCACAAACACAAAGATGTATACAGGTAAATGTGCACGTGGACCCTAAAATGGGTTATTATTACTTTAGGAAACATCCATCCATACCCTGTCTGCCACACCCTTACTCTCCCTGCTGGGTTTCCCAGCATACTGTGGTAGCCTGCAGAGCTGGGAGGGAAGACATAAAGGCAAGGAGAACCAAGTGGCTTAAGCTCAATCCAGTGGCCAAATTAAGAAAAAAATTTAGGCCTTGCTTCCTACTCTCTTTTCGTGCTTCCAGAAAGTATTTCCTGCTTTTATATTCAAAGTACATTTTCAATGCTATTCTTAGATATTTGGGGTTTAATCAAATTTTCATAAGCTGTGAAGAAGAGATAAAACACAACCCTTTCTTTTTGAATTAATTTGATTTTTGTCTTTGGCGCTCTCAGCTATCAAGACTGTCCAATAAACCAGTTTTGATTCATAAATAATAGTTCCATTATATCTACTATGCCACTCGTCAGAGTACCTGAAATTTTAATTCACTTGTTCAGCTAAATTTCATCCTCAGTTCACAGCCATAAAATTCTTTATTGACAAACTTTCAAACCAACTTTGACTCTGAGGTATCTAGTCAACATTTTTCTTCTGTGTGGATATTAGTTTATTGAATAAGTGGCATCTGTTTTCCTCCACATCACTAGCAGAGTAGGTATTTCCTTTTGACAGCTTTGCAGGATTTATGGGTTCACATGCTCTGAAGAAAAATAGTACTAAGCAAAAAATTCCAATTCATTACCTCTTAGTACTTAATTAAGTTCATACCACGGCACACCGGAGGTGAACCCTGAAACGACTGTGACAGCAGCAGAGCAGCCAGCTATATTATCTTCGGAAGACAGAGAGGATTCTAATTATCCTGACCTCGTTTTCCCATCTATGATATTCACAACTATTCCTTCTAGATTGCTCCCCGTTAGGCTTGGACAGAACTGTTTGGAAAGCAAGAACAGATCCCTCTCAATAACCACTGTTTGTGCAGCCCTTCTAAACAATAAAGGCAAGACTCTGACCTCCCAGAATGCAGACACCTCTGACCACAGGGTGTGCCGCAGGGGGCGGCTGGAGGTGATGGAACCTGTTGGTAAGGCAAGCAGTGGGTCTCACTGAGCAAACATACCACGAGCAGGAAGAGTCGGGGTTACCTGTCGGGGTTCTGCGTGCACACGTGCATCTGTAACAGGATCCTCTGCGTGAAAGTCTTAAAGCACTGCCCGCATTTCCAAAGATGCCAGTCACTGAACTCCGAGTGCAGCTGGCTCGTGGAAGTCGGGCTCGCAAGGACTCGCTGGTTTTTCACGCTGATTTGGTTATATCCCGATTCCATGGGCCCAGATTTATCCAGGAGAGAGAAGTTCCTGCTGCACGGAGTCTGTGGGAAAACGACGGAGCGCTGCTGAGTGGCTGGGGAGAGTTTGCTGCTCTTGCTGAAGGGCTGCAGGGCGTCCTGTCTACACATGGCTTCCATTACCGTGGAGGGGACGTTTACTGGGAGAACAACAGAGTTTCAGAAGATCAGTTTTATTGGCCCTTAAAATAAACACAATAACATGCACATTAAAAAAATTTCTTATAAATCAACATTTTGAAACTTTGTTTTTCTGGACTCAGAATTAACATAATAGAAGACAATTTGATTTGAGGGGGAAGCACTGTTATTACAACTTACAACTACTATACGCTCGGGACTGTTCATATATGGTCTTGGCCCTCACAGAGTTCACTTATGACCTGAGACATTAGGGCTCCGTAAGGAGGCTGCACCCTGCACCCTGGGTTTGGAGGGAGTTCAGATGGGAGGCACGGCAAGAGAGGGGAAGAGAACATGGGGGCCACCCAGAGAGGGTGGCCTTTAGCAGTGTAGGGAAGGGAGACTCAGGCCTTCCATCAGACCTTGCCAACACAGGACAGGTATTCAAAAAAAACTGGCTGGAAAGATGAAGGAAACAAAAGAAGACATCTGGAGACAGAAGTCTGGCACTGTGGTGACAGTGAGAGAGACAGGCCGGCTGAGCAGAGCCATGGGTTCTCGACACTGTGGGAATAAGGCAGAGGGTGGGGAGGGCAAGACCTCGAAGGACCTTTAAAGTCCAAAGGAATAAATAAACAAAAGACTTCAGGCCTAGCGAATAGATGCAGACTGTTTCTGAGCAGAAATAGCAAGAAAAAAATCAATGTTCAGGGAAGGCTTGAGTGAGGCATGATTTAGACAGGGTGCCATGGATAAAGTCAGAGTGGGAGGCAATGAGCTAAGGTGCTCAGAACCTTGGACTTTGCAATCAGAAAGACATAGGTTCAAATCCCGACTCTGCCTTTTATTAACTGGGTGATCTTAGGCAAGTTAATCTCTCTGTGCCTTACTTTCTCCATCTGTAAAATGAAGACGGGGTAGTAATAACCCTAAAAGTAATAGCTGCATGGGTATTTTGGTTGAAGTGGCCTAGATTTTAACTCCACTGTTTACTAGCTGTGTAACTATGGGCAAGTGTAGAACATTGACATCTACATTTAGTCCTTGGTAAAATGTAAAACAGTCACCCCAAAGGTTGAGTGAGATAATTCATAGGTAACATTTAGTAAATGCCATGGTTACCACTCAGTAAATGTTGAGCTCTGTGAGCCCGGCTTCCTAAACTCCCTTTAATGAGGTTCAAATGAAATGATGAAAATATTCTTCACAGGGCCTACTATTAACAATAGCTAAATCTTATTATTATAGAAGGAAGAGAGATTAGAGTGAAGATGAGCCTAAACTGGGGTGGTGGCAGAGGGAGTGAGGAAAAACTAGAAGAAACATTCTGAGGAGGGAAACTGAATATACTTGAAATCTGTCTTTCTTTTTGTACATTGTTATTATGTTAATAATACATACCATGTACTCACTGATCAACCCACAGGTTCAGAAGTGATTAGAACTTCATATGCTTAAAAACTATTATTCTCATTTTTATAGTACTTACTGTGTTAATAAATGTGTTTATTGGTTATTTCAGGGGTCAAAAAGATTAAAGACCTTAGGGTGGTCAAGAGAAGGAAATTAGATACCAAAAAATTTGAAAACATTGATTGGCAAAAAGATTTGTGATGGGAAGTAATCCATGGCTGTTGGCCATTAGTTCAAGGCCACATGGAAGGAAACACATGAACTGGGGTCCTTATCCTTTTAAGCCACCGCCAGCTGCTGAGATTCCTGTGCAGCATGAAAACTCAGCATAGTCAACTAGGAGAGAGAATGGTAGAGGTCCATGACTGCAAGGAGGCTCTGTGTGGATTGGACAAGGAGATACCAAGCATGGAGACACAGAGGGGGTGATGTGCTGCCACTAAGGACTCTTCAACTCAGAGCATCCTGTCAATCACATGTAATCAGACAAACCCAACAAAAGAGATAGTGCAGTCTATAATACTCTGTTGGCATGTTCCATCCCATCCTGAGAAGAAAAAATAAACCAAGAGACTTAGAGGCCTGGAAGGAGCCTAGAGTTTTCCTGTTGGTAGTTCTTGACCCTGACTGCGCCTGAGACTCATAAGGGAGACTTTTAAAAAATTAAATCAGGCCCTGACCAGGTGGCTCAGTGGGTTGGAGCTTTATCCCATGCACCAAAAGTTGCAGTTCGGTTGCAGGTCAGGGCACATACCTGGGTTGTGGGTTCAATCCACAGTCAGGGCATGACAGGGAGGCAACCAGTTGATATTTCTCTCACATAGAGGTTTCTTACTCTCACTCCCCCTCCCTTCCTCTTTCTCTCTAAAATAAATGAATATGTTCTAAAAACTTAATCAGAATCACTTGGTAGATTCTAGGCATCTTCATTTCTTTAAAGTCCCCCAAGTGCTTCTAATGTCTAATTGGGGTTGAGAATCAATAATATCATCCTACTCTCTCTTATTATTAAAAATAAAAACAGCTTAAGCCTAAAAATGTCCAATTACTTGCCAAGGGTCACACATCCAGTTAAGGGCACACACTGCCAAGCTAGAAGCTTTAGCTTTTTGACTCCCAGAGAATTTTTTCTGACCGCACTCATATATTGTCTCAGCTCACCAGCTGTATTTCAAACATAAAAACAAAATTTTACAGCTAGTACAACTCACATGAACATATATACCATACATACATACAAATACATACTTATATACATACATATATACAGGTTTATCTACATGTACATATGTATTTATATATAAAAATATTTACGTATAATTTCAATTTCTGGGGAAAAGTATAGAATGAAGATGAAATATGTCCACACATTTTAGACTTTCAAAAAAATCTTTGATTGTACACAGACTTTATTTATTGAAAGGTAAGGAGGAATGTCTTATTATATTTTGACACTTTTTAATATAAAATAAAAACAGTAGGATTGTCAGAGATCAGGGTGGAACTCATCCTGTTTAGCCCATTCATCACTAGTCCGGAACAGACAAAGCACAGGGAAGCCCACAAGTTTTCAGGCAACACTAAGCCCGTGCCGATGGGAAACGCTGCACTAGCAGGAAGGCAGGCCCGGGGAAGACTGTGGAGTGAAGATGTCATCAACATGCATGAGAGCAGGAAATCCGGCCGGAAGCTCCACGGTGGGGAAAAGGGTTAGGATGCTTTTGGGGGGAAAATAATACTCTAAGTATAGATTATAAACTCTGGCATCTCACTTATGCTCCTGGAAAGCGACCTAATAAGTTAATTTTCAAAAATCATTATGGCCACAAAACCTTTATATTAAATTAAAGAATTTGTGGGCCAGTGAATTTTTGTTAGGTTTCATGATCAATGTCAAAATGGTAATAAAGAAAAACTGAGGCCAGTTTTTATAATAATCTAGGATATATGGGATCTGAGTTAGTGGTAGTAACAGTAGTATTTAGGCAGTAAGAGTTGGAATGTTGGAGTGAAATTATTTTCTGTCTTATTACTTCTTCTCTGGGATACCCCAATACTAATGTAACTTTGTTTTTGAGATACAGGTAGCAATGCCTGCACTCTGTATTCTACTCTGGCATGATCCTTTACTGTAGTTGTGAATAAAGTCAATCCTACTGAATAAAATGAGCATATAATTTACAGAGAAGAAAAAGTAAGGATAGGAATAAGTAATTTTTTTGCTCTCTAAACTACCCTGCAGCACTCCAGCACACTTTCGTGGAACTCCAGAGGTCTACAAAGTATAATTTTTTAAAGCAGGACCTAAAGGATGCAGAAGACTATTCTTTCTAAATACCAGCCTGATTTATGACAACAATTAAAAGCATTAACAAAATGCAGGGGATTATCAGAAAGAAAATAGGAAATGAACTCTGAAAACACTATCTCATCCCAAATCAAGACAGTCCAGATAACTCAAAGGCCCAGAGATGACTAACTGGAATGATCAAAAAGATGAAGTGGTTTCTACCTGAAGACATACTGAGCTAGTAAAACCTCTGTAGTCTACAAAACAAAGATTAAGGGAAGAGGGCAAACTCTTAAAGCCCTAAAAGATAGAGTAAGAATGAACATAAACTAATCAAATCCTGGAAAATTAAAACATGGAGAGGCAAATTCAGGAGCTATAAAACAAAGTTCTGCTTCACTCCCCTGTCCATTCGTTCCACCCACAAGTGGTTTCTGGGCACCCCTTACATGCCTGACGCTGTGCACCTTGCTGCAGACACAGAGGGGGCACGGAAGCCACAGCCCCTGTCCTTGTGCCACCCAAACTCCAGTGAGAGACATGGGCAGTAAACAATGGTTTTTACAAATCAGTGTTTACTCAGTTTCATCAAATCTAAAATTCCATTAATGGCCAGTCGTATCATTAAATGTAAGTCACCATTCGTGGTAAGATATCTTCCAGGCTCAGAAAGTGTAAAATGTAGAAAATACATGAATTTTAGATTGACAATACAGCGGTTGATACAAGTGTGAAACGTACCACGAGAGAGAAGGGGTGCCAGGGAAACATGCATCCAGGATGGCTAAGTGTGGGTGTGAAGGATGGCTTCCATCACACAGTGGCTTGACTGTGAGTCCTGAAGGGTACCCAGGTCACACAGGGGTGCGAAAGGAGGAAAAGGCAGTGCAAGGCAGCTATGCTGTAGAGTCTGTGTGTCGTGCTCAGGTGAGAAGGCACTCAGAGCTCTGAAGAAACTGAGAAAGTTTCTGTGGTCAGAGAAAGAAGGGGAGATGGGCTGCAGAAGGGGCTGAAAAAGATGGACAGCGCCATCGCCAATGCCTGTGGGAGCTGGGCAGGCAACAGAAATAAGGGATAGGAGACACGTCTGTAAAACAAAGGATGTTGGGGTCTGCAGCAAACCGAATAGGGCAGGGCCAGTTGAATGATGTTTGGTTCCAATTTTGTCAAACATTATGTGAGCCTTGCAAAATATTTCTGAAGACTGTATGAGGCCCAAAGGCTACCATATTAAGAACCGGAGATTTATTATGAGAGTAATTGCAAGCCAGAAAAAGAATTTAAGTTGGGGTTTGATGAGAGTCAGATTTATGT